CCTCCCGAGTAGCTGGGACTACAGGCGCATGCCACCACATCCAGCTAATTTTTCTGTTTTTGTAGAGCCAGGGTCTTGCTCTTGCTCAGGCTGGTCTCAAACTCCTGGCCTCCAGCAGTCCTCCCCCCTTGGCCTCCCAAAGTGCTAGGATTACAAGCATGAGCCACTGTGCCTGGCCTCATTTGGCTTTTTAAAATGATTTTTCTAGAATAATTAAAATTTGGTAATTTATGCCTACAAAGTGACATTCTTTTTACCAGTTTATGTATATGGTTTGAATGATTTCGATAAGTGATGAAATATTTTAGTACTTTTAATAAATGAGTTACTTAGAAATTTATAAAGGACCTTATATTCTTGCCTTAAATAAGAAGATATTTTAAACTATGAAATATCCTTATATATGATGAATTAGACTTTGCTAAATATGTTTCTCTCATTCTGATAGATTTCAGCATTCACCTTTAAGTTTCCCTCCCAAAATAATCTGTTATTAGGACTCTGACTTCTGTTATACAACACTTGAATTGTGGTGGGGCAGCAGTTTTGATAGTACATGAATACTCTTCTCTCAGCAAGATAAATAGAATAAATATATAATTTTGGAGGTGTTGGAGTGAAGGAACTCTGGACCTAAATTATCCTTTATCTACAGTTGTTGCCTAGTTCACAAGTAAATGGTATTAAAAATAGTCCTTGTTTGAGGCATTGGAATTGGGGAAAGTCTTATACTTTCTCAGGGCATTTGTATCTCCACCATATTTTTTAATCTGGATGTTTGCTCTACAGACCTGCCTAAAGCCCTATAGCCTCTTACCCTGTGTTGCTTTTCCAGTGCTGCTAAAAGCAGAGACCCTGGGGGCCTGAGCCCTGCCTGATCCTTACCATGTGAGGTGAAACCAGAGGCCAGGCAAATCCTGGGAATGTGCTTTTCATGTGTTCCCAGCACTTGCTGCTGCAGAGGGCCTGGTGGGACTAGTGGGGTCATGCCATCTTTCTGCCTGTTGGAGATCCTGTTCTTGTGCCCTAGATAGCTGGCCAAAAAGGATAGGAATTTGGGGGAAATAATTTAAAATCTTGTGTTTAGAAAAAGTCAAACCTTACTATCTATATGGCATACACCCCTAATATCAGTTATTACTACACTTACTAATATGTTTTTTCAGGACTCTGTATTATACTATGAAGATCACATATAAGGCTAGTTGTCTCGGTGACCTTTTTTTGTTTTGCCTTGTAGCCCCGACTATAATGTGGAATTTTTTCGACAGTTTATATTGGTTATGAATGCTTTAGATAACAGAGGTGAGATGATTTTAATACTTTTAATTTCTCAGTATTTCCCCTCTCCCAAATTAAAGCTGTTTACAAATTTATTATTAATTAAAATATTTCCTTATGAGTTAGAACTTAAAAGACCTAAGGGAAGCATTATCAGGTTTAAAGCTTGCCAACTGATTGCAGTTTTATCTAGAACTGATTTGTTCCAGGCAGAAATTTAGCTATCACGCACTCTGCTGTTCTATCAAAAGGTATAAATAAAGGCGAAGTTAAAAGATCTAAAGAGTGTGACTATGTAGGATGTGTGTTGGTAAAAATACTTCCGTAGTATTCCCTGTCTGTAATTACTTCCATGTGTAAAAGTACATCTGTCAAATGAGTTTGTAATGATTCGGGACCAGAAATGCCAAAGAAAAAACACGAGAAAGAGTCAGAATGACTCTTTTAACGTGAATCTTTTTTTCCCTAGCTTGAAACTGCCTTAATAGTTCCAAATTAATAACTACACATTTCTCATTGTTAATTATACTAGAATAGTGGTGAGTTAGGAACACATTGAAACAATGTCTTGGCTAAGGTACAACAATAGAAGAAGAAGATGGCACTTTGGGATTCAAAAAGTACTTGTTTCTAGGGGTGCTTTTCCTGGAGTAAATTTGTGATATATAAATTCCTTATGTTTGAAATTTTGCTAAGTGAATGTCTCTTAAATGTCTGTAATTTACAGTTGCATTACTCTGACCATAGCCATAAGAAAATTATACATAAAATAAAAATAATGAGAAATAGTTTGAGTATATGTCATCCTAATTAAAGATAGTTAATTGTTTTTTCAAAAGCTTCTGCTAACTAGTATTTTTCTTCCAGCTGCCCGAAACCATGTAAATAGGATGTGTCTGGCAGCTGACGTCCCTCTTATTGAGAGTGGAACTGCTGGTTATCTCGGACAAGTAACTACTATCAAAAAGGTAAAGAAAAGTTTTTTTTTTTTTAATTTCCAAATGTTTATTTGAGACCTTACCAGGGGAGGAAGTAAACTGTGGGTTTATATAATAGGAGCAGGTCGACATCCAATATAAAAGGATTTTCATGCACATGTAAAACTCAGGGTGCTATAAAGGTGCCCAAAAAGACTATGGGCAGGGAGATATATTAGCTCTGCCCCTGTGTTTCTTTTTTTTTTTTTTTTTTTTTTTTGAGACAGAGTCTCACTGTGTTGCCTGGGC